CTGCTGCAGTCTATACCTTTGCTACCAACCTTTGGCTTGTTCCTGGACTACGATTTTGCCTCATCCCCATCTACTACCGCTTGTGACCGACCCTTGGCTTGTTGACTGACTCTGCTTCTGCTAAATCCTTATCTGCTCTATCTGCTATCGGATTCCGGCTTGCTCATTCCCTGGTGGGGTGATCCTGAGTACTGCGACCTGGTACTAACACGCAGTGAAATCCATCTCCACCCTTAGGAGCTCTGGTGAAAACCGGTTAGTGCGGGATGCACCTCAGGTGAGCCTGCGTCATTTCCCAGGGTGACCTGCTGGTGTACCTATCCTGCTGGTTTCAGGTAAGCCTTACACTGCTGTAGCAACTGGTCTCTGAACCCGACCCAGACCATGACAGTACCACTCCCTGTCATTACAGTGACCCATCTTCCTGTAATTCTTTTTCAAAACAAAAAAAAAAATTAGTTTTGGCTTCTTTAGTCAAAAGAAGGCAAAACTTTGCTATCAAATATGGCATACATATGTCATGCACCTTAAGACCCACCAAGTGGCACCAGTAATTGGGAAACCACTTTTTAAAAGTAGGTTTGAACCATAAAGGATTTCATGGGGGATATGCAATCAAGAGATAGTGTTTAATTGCATGGACCTATGCCAAGCTAGAAATTGCACTGGCAGCTCTGTGGAGGAATGGTATATACATGATTGCATAGATGCTCAATGTCCTACCCAACACAGTGGATGCAGCATTAGGTACGTTGTTACTAGTGGAGTCCATTCATCTATAGAGGACAATGAAGCAATACAATGATAATCATTTGTTGAGAGCCTATAGAGAAGTGGAGGACCCATCTTTTAACAGGCGAAGTAGAATTATGCCAAATGAAAGTTAAAACCAGTCTGAGGTATGCTGCTTAAGAAAACTAGAAGAAGGGAATACCACCCTGCATGCCTGGTGGCCCTGGCTGGTTAGCTTTGGGGGAGAGAGGGCATGCTCTTTTTTATACTCATTTTCTTTAAATGACCTGTGTTTTTAATACAAGTTCAGCACTCTCTAAAGACAATCAATGAAGTTTTAGTAGAAGCTTAAACCAGGTGAATTTAGTAAAAAAAAATATAGTTTGAGAGAACATTAGATGAATTTGCAGGGAAGGTTACATTCACCCTGTTCTTACAGACATTTTTCTATCGAACAGATGCTCCGAAATGTCTGTGAATAAATAATTATAAGTAAATATTGGGCACATTTTGGATGAAATTGTTGATAACTACACCCAGGGCTGGGACAAGGGGTGGGAAGAAGGGGCACCTGACCTGGGTGCAGAGGCACTGTGTGGAGAGGGGGCACTAAGAGACCATGATCACTCCCCTCTCCAGCTACCTGAATGGCAGGCGATGCTGTCACCAATCCTGTCATTCAGAACAGAGCACAGTGCAGGGCTGCAGTTACAAAGTAAAATTCTCCCTCTAGCAGTGGGACTGGATGTCCTCCCCCTAACTCCTTCAGCAGTTTCAGGCACATTGGTGCAGGACAAACCTAGAAGAGGAGACTACAGGTTACTGCTGCATGTTGTGTGGGCGGGATAGGGATGCAGCCGGCCTCAGAGATCCCACTCACCTGCCTGCCGCATGAAAGAGGGAGATGTGAGCTGAGCGTGTGCCAAGGTAAGCTCAGTCGCGATATTTGATGTCATTGCTGCTGCTCCCAGTTCATCATCAGAGCACAGGAAGTAGGGGAATTGGGACTGGAGAAGACTGGAACTGAGGAAGGGGTTAACATGACCACCAATGCAGGTGGGGTATGAGGGGTTAACGTTCACCGCATGACAGTGAAATTCTAACCCACCACTCCTGTTGATAATATCAGTGAAAGTTACCCCCCCTCCTCCCACATTGGTGGTCATGGGAGGGGTTAAATTTCAATGCCACTGACTACCAAGGTTGGGGAGGGGGTTAATTATACTGACAGCTGTGCGGGGAGTTATTATTGTGCCCACTGGCATCAATGGTGGGAGTTATTGCGTGCAGTAATGCCAATTCTACGGGTTATTAATGCATCCACTGGCATCAATGGTGGGAGTTATTGCATCCATCACACCTGTGCTGGAGTGTTTTATAGTGTCCACTGACACCAATGCTGGGAGTTATTGCGTGCACAAACACGTGTGCTAGGACTTATTACACTGACTTCAATGCTGTGGGTTAATAATGCGTCCACTGATTCCAGTGTTGGGGGTTATTCTTGTGTTTGGGGGGGGTGCAATTTGGTGTCTTCATGGTTGACCCTGGCACTGGTTGACCTTGTCCCGCCACTGGCTACACCCAATTGTTTTTTTCTTTTTTTTGCTTTCTTTTCAATGTATGTTTGATTATTTTTTTAAAAAACGGAAAAGGATGAGGCTAATGAGGGGGTATTTTTTGCAAAAGAATAGGTCAGGATAGTTGAAAGGAGGTTCTTGAACCAAAAGTATTCCCATTGACTTCATTTTGCCTTCCCATTGACTTCAAATCTTGTTGAACTCTCTCATTATTGTAAATTAAAACTCTCAGTTGTGCTCATCTCTACTGACATGTTGAGATTCTCCATCTTGTCCCTGAAAGAAGAAAATTTCCTAAATCTCAGCGAACATCACTGCATGTACTATGCTGGGTGCATTCTACCCTGATATCACACTGCTTAACCACCCTAGTGGTCTGATTACATCAGTATTTCTGTGCTCAAAGCGAAATCTGTCCGAACAAGAGTCTAGTAAACTGATAACATTTGAAACACAAAATCATAAATTATAATATAATAAATAATCCTAAAAAATAATATAATAATAATAAATTTAATTCAATAATATAATCAAACCAAAAACAAAAAAATTTGAAACAGAGTGCCAAGTTTGCACATCACTGAGCAAAGTCGCAAAATCATGACTACTGCACCATAGATAGGCTTGTCCACTCCTACTTCCACCATTGCCTATCCATACCACTCCAAACCCCCCTTTAACCAAATAAACTTTACAAAAACATGACACCATTTTGGAGTAAATGGCCAACATGGCCTTTTATTAACAACTTCACATTTTACATACATCAACCGTTCCTTAACGGAAACCAAAGAATTGTTGTTGGTCTTCAAAGGCACCCACAAACGATCCAAAATGCACCTGCGGACAACCCTATACACTAGGCCTCCAGCCGCAACCAACCAGCTTGGAGACAACCATACCGTCTGCAGTGCAGCACCACCACCTTCCAGTTAAACCTTGGTTAACTGGGAATATCCACCGGGCCCCCCATACCACGGATGGGGTCCCACACCATTGTTTTCCTTCCAAGATGAGAACCGCCTCCAAAGACCAACAACTGCCCACGAACCAACAGAAAAACCCACCTCTCCAACCAGTGTCACCTTTTTTTTTTTTTTTTTTTTTAAGTTTTCTGCTCACCTGCCCCCGGACAAGACCCTATACCCAACCTAACAGGGAGGGCGGGAGGGAAGCTCTGGTCCTTGCACCCATCCAGCTCCACTGACGCCCCTTCCGCAGCAACCCCCACCCTACGGTGCCACAGACCCCTCCTACACTCCACATCTGCCAATCCCGTAATTCCCAATCCATTCCCCACCCTTGGAGCTAAATTTTAACCCTTTCCGTTCCCTACCACTCTGGGCCTAGTCATGTATGCCCTGCGCTATTTCCATTCTTCCCTATTCGCTACGGGCATTTCTTTTTCAGTGTCTGATGACTAATTTTCCCCACGAATCATTATCACTCAATTCTGCAAGTGGTTCTGATTTACTATCGCTGTTCTCTAGCCGGTCTAAAACCGATTTTGACCTAAAGGGACGCTTTTTGGACGCCATGGACGTTTCTCAGTTTCCAGGCAGAAAGAACAGTAAAAATGCAGGCAGAGCACAGGACAAAGCACTCGGGATAGAATGTATGTGAAATGGTTTGATACAGTAATGTTTTACTATGTGATTTTAGTGTATTTAGTGAATGTCACTTTTTAAATTTTTTAATTTCCCGCCGGTTCCGCCCCCCGTATGTCCCGACGCTCGCAGGGAAACGGAACCCGGAAGACGGATGCCGGCATCAACCAGAGGAGATGTCCAGGGACGCTGCAGGGGGGACTTCGCGGGAGCGCAGGACAAGGTAAGTGATCGAGGGATTCTGGAGCACCACTGCAGGGTAATCCCAAGTGTAGCTCGGAGTTACTTCTTTTGGTACTGAAACTTAATCCCAAGCAGGAGCGGACTGACAACTCATGGGGCCCCTAGGCAATAGGGGATCATGGGGCCCTGTGTCCTTGCCCAAACTCAAAAAAGCCTATTAAAAAGGTACCAGGGGCATCTCATGGGGCCCCCTACTGACCCCGGGCCCTTGGGCAGTGCCCGAGTTTCCAAATGGTCAGTCCGCCCCTGATCCCGAGCTACATTCGGGAATACCTCCAGGGAGGGTTAAAGTGATTCTAAAGGAAGAATGCTTGTTACCTTAATGCATTCTATTCACCTCCTGATGTGCATGAGAGTAGCAGCTCTCCTGGCTCCTGCTGTCAATCTTATTCAGTGAACCAATGAGGAGAGAGTGTGGGGCGGGGCCGAGTCCTGCTCTATGAGTGAATGGATAATGCCCATTCACAGGAGTGCAGCTTGAGAGCAAGCCTGCTCAATTGCCCCCAGAGCAAGAGCCTTGTTATTGGGGGCACTCAGAAGGGAGGAGAGGCCAGGAACGCTGGTGGGGGACCCGAGAAGGGGAGAATTGGGGCTCCTCTGTGCAAAACCATTGCACAGAGCAGGTAAGTATAACATGTTAGTTATTTTTTTTTTTTAAATTCAACCTTTAGAATAACTTTGCCACATTCTACTGAGCACTGAGATATGATACTCCTCATCAACTGTAATATTTGAATATTTCCTGCTTTACATAGTGAGACTCTGAGATTATTTCCCTATAGATTTCATGTTATATAAACAGTTTACCATGAAGGTCAATGATCTGTGTGAGTGACAGACCAGACCCATGAAGATGCTTCCTCTGACATATCTACTCTGTGTCTTTTATGTCTACATCCAAGGTGTGAAAATTTATTCAGTTTATTTTGTCAGATGTAAAATAATAGTTAGGAACAGTAAAGGATGCATTTTTTATCTTGTCTATTTCTTGTCTAAAAAAAAACTTTCATAACTCAACTAGAATTGTTTTTTCATCAGATAATAATAATGGGTTACACTGTTATTCTGATTCATTATAAACATATCCAGATCCTTACAAAGAGCCTAATTGTTACAGATAAACAATTTCAGCTGAATATTGTTGCCATCTTATGATGAAATTTATTGATCAATAATCAATATGTCTCTTCCCATCCTCAGGATCCTGTGGCGAGATTGTGATGACTCAGACTCCGGATTCTATCTCTGTGTCCCCGGGACAGACAATGACTGTGACATGTACTTCTAGTAAAAATCTATATTGGTCTGACGCAAGAGCTCACTTAATAGCCTGGTACCAAAAGAAAGCAGGACAACCTCCTAAACTCCTCTTGTATCACACCAGTACTCGAGCATCTGGGGTTCCAGATAGGTTCAGTGGATCTGGATCAGGAACTCAGTTCACAATGACAATACAGGGAGTAACTGAAGATGATGAAGGAAATATATTACTGTCAGCAGTATATTGAGTTCCCTCTCACACAGTGATACACACCCCTTTCGTGTCCAGGCCAATTTTCAGCTTT